CACCCTTTGCAGCTAGAACAGCTTCAACTCTTCTGGGAAGGCTGTCCACAAGGTTTAGGAGTGTGTTTATGGGAATTTTTGACCATTCTTCCAGAAGCGCATTTGTGAGGTCGCACACTGATGTTGGACGAGAAGGCCTGGCTCTCAGTCTCCGCTCTAATTCATCCCAAAGGTGTTCTATCGGGTTGAGGTCAGGACTCTGTGCAGGCCAGTCAAGTTCATCCACACCAGACTCTGTCATCCATGTCTTTATGGACCTTGCTTTGTGCACTGGTGCACAGTCATGTTGGAAGAGGAAGGGGCCAGCTCCAAACTGTTCCCACAAAGTTGGGAGCATGGAATTGTCCAAAATGTCTTGGTATGCTGAAGCATTCAGAGTTCCTTTCACTGGAACTAAGGGGCCAAGCCCAGCTCCTGAAAAACAACCCCACACCATAATCCCCCCTCCACCAAACTTTACACTTGGCACAATGCAGTCAGACAAGTACCGTTCTCCTGGCAACCGCCAAACCCAGACCCGTCCATCAGATTGCCAGATGGAGAAGCGCGATTCGTCACTCCAGAGAACGCGTCTCCACTGCTCTAGAGTCCAGTGGCGGCGTGCTTTACACCACCGCATCCGACGCTTTGAACATTGCACTTGGTGATGTATGGCTTGGATGCAGCTGCTCGACCATGGAAACCCATTCCATGAAGCTCTCTGCGCACTGTTCTTGAGCTAATCTGAAGGCCACATGAAGTTTGGAGGTCTGTAGTGATTGACTCTGCAGAAAGTTGGCGACCTCTTCGCACTATGCGCTTCAGCATCCGCTGACCCCGCTCCGTCAGTTTACGTGGCCTACCACTTCGTGGCTGAGTTGCTGTCGTTCCCAAACACTTCCATTTTCTTATAATACAGCTGACAGTTGACTGTGGAATATTTAGGAGCTAGGAAATTTCACGACTGGATTTGTTGCACAGGTGGCATCCTATCACAGTTCCACGCTGGAATTCACTGAGCTCCTGAGAGCGACCCATTCTTTCACAAATGTTTGTAAAAACAGTCTGCATGCCTAGGTGCTTGAATTTATACACCTGTGGCCATGGAAGTGATTGGAACACCTGATTCCAATAATTTGGATGGGTGAGCAAATACTTTTGGCAATATAGTGTATGTATTGTATACACCCAAATATTTTGTAGTAGAAGGGCCACATTTGCTGTAGAAATCCTGCTGCAATAGGTACTGTATAACAAGCCCCGTAAAAAGAGACGGCCTGTGAAAATTAGAGAGGGAGCTGAACAAAGATTCACTTATCGCTGTCCAGGATCCGGTTTAGAGTTCCTTTAGGAACAGAGCATTGACTACTGTTAGATTCTCTCTCTGCTGCCATAATAAACAGTATGTTGTAGCTCGGCTGAAAAACAGCACCCAGACTGCTACATTGCTTTTTGCCTCAGCAAAACAAATTAGCTTTCTATCTAATTTTTAGTATAATTGTGTTAAAAAAACAACAACTCATCATTGTTAAACATATGTGATGAATGATTCCAAACAAAAAATAATCTATTATGATATATACCTTTTACTTTGGGTGACAGTGGTGTTGGGTGTAGGAGTTTGCCATGAAATCGAAGGGTTGATGGTTCAAGCCCTGGCTTAATTATTAGGCAAGACACTTCACCTGCTTTGCCTACTGATGGTGGTCAGAGGGCCCAGTGGCGCCAGTGTACGGAAGCTTCTGTCAGTATGTTTTGGTCAAGGAAAAGCACTATATAAATACAGGCCATTTGCAATGAAGTGAATAAGAATTAATTGATTAGATTGTAAATATGTAGTGGTATGATGGTCTATTACCACCAGTGCAGAATGATAATGCCTGAGTTGATGAGATGGACTGCGGGATATTAATAAAAAAAATGTAACAACAGTTTCATAGGTAGGACAAAATATCTTTATTCTACAAAAAGTGCAATAAAAACAAGTACAGTGATTGTTTTTTGAAATATTTTTAATACAATTTATACGATAGGTAGATTCTTTTTTTGGGCGGAGAGGGCACAGGGTATAAGCTAAGCTCATTCAAAGCTCCAGCAGAGGGTGCACAGACTATAGCTGTGTCTGAATTCAGTGGCTGCGTCCTCTGAAGGACTCAGTTAACCTGGACTGGGACCTTCGAAGGCCGTGAAAACTAGGATGCCGGAAGAGTTCAGCTATAAATTCAAACAGGTCCAGCATTCTCCGACTGTCACCACCCCTAACTCAGCGTAAGCTCTGCCACCTAGCATTTGTGACAGTTGATGCACAAAGCCGGCAAGGAACGGATGCCAAACTAAATTTGGTTAATGTCAGCCAAACCCATTTGCCCAGGGACAGATAAAACATTTAACTAATCCAAACATTATCTGCAACATATCTGACTTACTAAACATTTAAATTAACAATTTTCATTCATTTGAGACAAATCTATTTACATTCCTGTATTATATTAAACTGTACTTACCATTTTCCCCACTGTTAGTCGCCATTTCCTGAGCATGGAGCAGCTGTCCTGCTATGGATCATGGGATACGGTATTCCACGAAGGATCACAGAACCTGTTCTTCCACCTTGGTGAAGGAAGCCTGCATTTGTCGGCCACATGTGAAGGAGTCTTAGTATTCAAACAGGCCATGTTGATATGACGGGGTATGGTATGACATAATTGGCCAACAAACCTGGAGGCAGCCGGTGGATTCGGACACAGCCTATAGATCACATTAGGAGGAACATTAGTTTCTCCGATTAGGTATTTTTAAAAAACATTTATGAATATAAAAATATAAATAATTAAACTTCATGTTACCTTTTATTTTTATTTTTTCTATTATATCACATTTGGAATTTTTATAAACTAATAAATGTGCTTGTTATAATACAAAGGAAAAAATATATTACTGCCACCAATTTAAAGTAAGACCTTTACCCTAATATATTTTCTTCTAAGTACGTTGTCAGGACTCCTGTCTGTGTGTTTGTGTTTCTGTGTTTGTCTCCCTTCCTCCACCAGGAGGCGCCTGGTTCTGGTCCGCCTCCTCACACACCTGCTGATGGTTTCCTCACTAACGGAGTGTTCTTAAGCTGCTGACTGCCACTACCTCGACGCCAGAGTGTTTGCCAGTTTTTGGTACTCTAGCCAAGCTGAGTTTTGCTGAGTCAAACTGAGTTCTTGTCAACCTGAGTCTTAACATTGTTTTTGTCTTTGCCTCTCGGCAGGAAGTCTTCCTGCAAACTGGATTTTTCAGACCTTCTCTCACTGGAAGTATCAACTGAGCCTCAAACTGAGCTGGGGATACAAACAGGAGGTTTGGATCCACTTTTCCCCAATAGGTCGTTTGAGTTTTACACTGAGCAAGGGATTCATCTCCACTAGGACCCGTTCAAGTACCGCAGGAAATCTTAGTGGCAGTCACCTTCTCCGTTCACCTACAAACAACCGCATTCTGGGTAAACCCTGTTCCGCCTTCCACCGTATCAGACAAACACTGGAACAACAGCATACAGACTGGAGTCAAAGATTCAACAACTTCTCTGGAAACGTGAGTCAGCAACCAAATCCTCTTCTCCAAGTTCACAAATCAAATTTCCCACTGAGCCTGAACTAATCGCTGTGTCTTCCCCTAACTTTTCAGTTCCAGTTGAGCAGTGTTCAGAGCAACACTTCTCTCTCTGCATTATCTCTTCAATGAAACCTGTTAAACCTTTCCCCTGGTCTCTCTGAATTGGTTTCTCTGCATGTGAGTCCAAGCTTTTGATAAAATCATGACATACGTGGGATATTAATTTGTTTATGAGATAATTGAGAGGCTTAATCACCATTTGAGACTAACTAAAAAAACAGTTTCCTCGAGAGGCAGACCTATGTACATCTTACCAATTGAACAAACCTAAAGCAATATGCATGGTATAGTTGTTACATGTCAGGTACGCTGGTCATTGACCTTGACCAAGAACTGCAGTCAGTCCTTGGACTGGCATGGCTATCACTGCCCCTAGTTAGAGACAAATGCAGAAGACACATTTCCCACTGGGATCAGCTTCATAATCATCCTAGGCCATTTCTTTGATTTTATTTATTTTGCTCCAGCTACACGTAAGCCCACAGCCCACCAAATGTTAAAAGGGCAATATTATTGCCATTACTGTTAATATATAGTAGAAATTTTAGACATTCAGTAATAAAATCTCACAGGGGATGGTATGGGGGGATGGTGATTTAAGAAGGGGGATGATTTTTAAGATTTTTAAAAGAAGGGGGATGCCATACACACCACCCCCAGAGCTGCAATGAGTTAATAGTAGGTGTGTAAGTGATCTGATCATCAGACTGCTGATTGCGGCGATTGAAGAAAGAAATAGAAGGCCCCAAAATCAAATTTTGCGTAGGGCCCCATGGAAGCCAGGACCAATTTGGTCTATAATGTTAAATCACTGCAACATTGAATCTTAGGGTTGAACATGTATTATACGGGGGGCAAAAAAAGCTCTTTACATGCATAACTATATATTTTAAATGGTAAAAATATGTGTAAAGGCAATTGTAAATATCTGCTTGTTTTATTCCCCTGTTAAGTATATAGATGAGTTATATCTTGCAGGAAAAAAGGAGACGTTGCTATGGCAACGCATACAAAGAATGCAAAAGCGATTCTGAAGACATGCAAAGTAAAAAATAAAAAAGAAGATAGATAGAAGAAAAGAAGATGCAACAACAGATTTGAATTAAAATGCAGCAAGAAAGCAAAGTAGAACTGTTTTTTTTTTTTTTTAAGCTATAAGATCAAACACCAGGTGATTACAGATGAGGTGAATGAAGCTCGTGGTAGTGAGGGATGCAGCAGGGGCACCGCCTTTATGCCATCAGCTTCATTATTATGGGGATGCGGTGTGAACCAGGCCGGCCGGCAGCTGCTGGTTGAGAGGCGCTGAGGGAGGGAGCGGCGAAAGGAGGAGGCAGAGAGTAGGGGGAGAGTAGGGGGAGAGGGGCTTGTTCACATAATAGCCGGCGGCGGGTGAAGGCGTGGTGACTGAGGGAGTGTGTGCGCTCTCCTCGTACCGGATGATGAGCATGGGCAGCGGCTGCACGGCGGCTCTCCTCCCGGTCTACTGTGGACAAAGCTGATCGGATCAGATCAATATGCCGGAGAGACTCTGCCTTATCTTCACTTAGAGCGGGATATAAATATCTGGAAGTCTAAAGGTAAGACGATGCATGGTGCGTCTGGACGCACTTAAAACGCCTCAAAGGACTGAGTGGAGACAAAGTAGTATCAGTCAGTCATGTATGTGATCCGTGGCGAGAGCATTAGTCATAATTACTACTGCATAGATGTGTGTCTTGCCTTTTCGTATGTGAAAACAGATGGAGAGTGCTTTTGTTAGATATATTTGTTTCAGTCATAGGGCTCAGGTGGAACCCACCCATGTACAGTAACCTACAGTAGCAGCCTCATTGTTCTCTCTGAGCTGTGGCCCTATAGAGTTGGCTCCAACATTGGGACATGCAGCTGATCTGACAGATGACAGTTTTGAAGGGGGGGAATTTTTTAATAAAATGGGATCTAAAAGGCTGTATGAGTCATATCACATAAATGGATACAGGAAGTGTCTATTGGTGAATAATAAGATGCTTACTGAATCATAATTTGACCTTTTGCAGAGCTTTAAATTACATTTGTTGATAGATATATAGATTAAGTTAAGCCTGGCATTTTTTAAACAATCGAATGTGATTATCTTTGACAGCTCCAATTTTTCCATATGTACAACTAATATAAACCTGTTGTGACAATCTTGCTGCAGGTGGGCCGGTGTAGGCCTATACATTGTGTGCAGAATTATTAGGCAAATGAGTATTTCGACCACATAATCCTTTTCATACATGTTGTACTACTCCAAGCTGTAGGCTTGAAAGGCAACTACCAATTAAGTAAATCAGGTGGTGTGCATCTCTGTAATGAGAAGGGGTGTGGCCCACTGACATCAATACCCTATATAAGGTGTGCTCAATTATTAGGCAGCTTCCTTTCCTTTGGCCAAATGGGTCAGAAAACAGATTCGACAGACTCTGAAAAGTCAAAAATTGCCAGATGTCTTTCAGAGGGGTGCAGCAGTTTGGAAATTGCAACGCTTTAGAAGCGAGATTTAGAAGGCCACCTTTGAACAAGACACACAAGACAAAACATCAAGATTGGGCTAAGAAATATCTGAAGACTGATTTCTCCAAGGTGATTTGGTCTGATGAAATGAGAGTGAGTCTGGGTGGGCCAGATGGATGGGCACCAGGCTGAATCAGTAAAGGGCAGCAAGTTCCTTATCGACTCAGAAGCCAGCAAGGTGGAGGTGGGGTACTGGTATGGGCTGCTATCATCAAAGATGAGCTTGTGGGACCTTTTCGGGTTGATGATGGAGTCAAGATCAACTCCCAGACCTGCTGCCAGTTTCTGGAAGACACCTTCTTCAAACAGTGGTACAAGAAGAAGTCGCCATCATTCAAGAAATGTATGATGCTCTGTCACACACATCAAAATACACCACAGCAGTGCTGGACAGAAAAAGTCTAAAAGGAGAAAAAATAATGACATGGCCCCCTTCTTCACCTGATCTGAACCCCATCGAGAACCTGTGGTCCTTCATGAAATGTGAGATCTACAGGGAGGGAAAACAGTCCACTTCTCTGAACAGTGTCTGGGAGACTGTGGTGGCTGCTGCGTGCAATGTGGATCGCAAACAGATCAAGACACTGACAGAATCTATGGATGGAAGGCTTTTGAGCGTCATGGTAAAGAAAGGTGGCTATATTGGTCACTGGTTTGTTTTTTTGGTCACTGGTTTGTTTTTGTTTTTGAATGTCGCAAATGTTTATTTCTGAATTTTGAGTTGTTATATTGGTTTACCTGGTGAAAATAAACAAGTGAGATGGGTATATATTTCCTTTTAATAGGTTGCCTAATAATTCTGCACAGTAATATTCACCTGCACACACAGACATCCTCATAAAATGGCCAAATCTAAAAAAAAACACATCAACTTCCAAAAATATGAAACTTTGATATTAAGGAGTCTTTGGGCTGATTGAGAACACAATTGTGGCCCAATAATAAAAATAATCCTCAAAAATACAACTTGCTTAATAATTCTGCACACAGTGTATATATTACAATGGGTTTCTCTAGTTGGATTGCCCGGAAAGATTTATAACCCTAGATCTATTTTCTTTGGTTTTATTCTGATACATAAACACTAGGTAACACATAATTGTATAGTCAATAGAAAATAAAAATATTGCTTTTATTTCTATCTAAATGTGGTGCAGATTTTATTCAGTTCCCTCTTATTTCTATACTTTCTAATAGAACTGAGTGCAATGAAGTGCTTTTGAAAATCATCAAGTTAGTAAACATTGACAATTTGTGTAATTCCATCTCAGTGAGAACAAAACAGAACTTTGGCACAGAGAGCCTCTTGGAGAAAAGGAAACACATCTGAGGTTGAGTTCTAAGACTTAGGATATTGTTTTATGATCTAATGATGCTTGAACTGTTTTTTTTAGAAATCAAAAGAGTATGGCACAAATACAACTGTTCATCCAAAGAGGCCATTCAAGGGAGCATCAGTCAGAGGCCCCTGGTATCTTTGCAGGTACCTCAGAGAGCCACTGAACTGACAAAACCACAACCAGGCTTTGGCCAATATTCAGAATGCATTGTGTGATGGAAAACTACCATTGCACATCACCCTGAGTGAAACATCCACACTGTGATACATAGCAGTGGCAGCATATTGTTCTTAGAATGTTCCTCTGAAGGCTGATGGAGTTGGATATTTTACAGAAAATACTGAATAAAACCAGTTCAGGCTACAAAACTGGATTGTAGTTTTAAATGTTAGGAGGATAATAACTCTATACATGGGAGACTAACATCAGGACATGTATGTTACAATAGCTCACTCAAAGTTCAGGTTAAAATTTCATTGTAAAAATTTGGCAATTGTTAAAATTGTTTGTCAACCTTTTCCTTTCTATCCAACAATGTTTGAGCTATTTTGGAAGAAGGGGCAAACAGTTCAGCCTGTGGTTGCAGAACCTAATAATGACATTATCTGGAAGAAATAAAAAGACGAATTATATAAATACCTTGGCTTCAGATTATTATATATAATATCTAAAAAATATATAATTTTTTTCATTATTTACTATTTACTGTAATACTGACCCATCATTTTATACTTTAACAAGTTCCTTTGTGGGTGACATTGACCTGCAGCTTCTTCTGCTGTTATCTCTGAGCTACAGGAAGAGATACCAGTCAGAGTTAATTTTAGGTCCCAAGCAGAGTAAACAGGAATTGTTGTCTGGCTCTTAGGTGTGTGTAACACATGTTCAATATTAAATTTTCTGCTCTTTCTATGCATTAGAGAGAATGTCCTTTGTCATTTATCATCACAGTAAAATTCTTGTACATTTCTGACACAGTAAGGTTCCAACAACATATATGCATCAGCTTTTTTGATGAAATATATAAGAACTGGTCTTAGCCCAACACACATGAACATGCTGACGGTGTTTTCAGATATGCTGCTTTTAAGTCATTTCTCAGCACTCTGTTGGAAACTTTCCATTCAGGAATCAAAGCCTTCTGAGACCTGATGAAAAATGAGTTAAAGACAGATTGAGAGGGATCTATATTTGGATGCGCAAGTAATCTTGTATTCGCATACTGGTGAGTGGGAGCAAATCTGATATTTAGGATAACATGAAATTCTATAGAAGGGCAGTAACAGGTTAGCAAATCGCATGAGGATTGGCTTGGAAATTGTTCTTATTTTGTGAGCAAGAGGTCTAAAGATTATTACTTTATGAGATTACTATTCTTACAGGGTAGTAAGGAGAATAAATACACAAGCATGTTTCAATCTAATATAGTATGATATTATTTATATGTCACATTTTCTTCATACATTTCACATCCATGCCTCTGTGCCTCCTGTCCCTGTGCTCTGCAGAAAGTTACTGCTGTGTTTTGTAATAAAACTCTGCAGTGTGTAATTTTAGTTTTCTCTCCTCCTCATGACAGGTTTAATAATATAAAAATATGAAAAACTGTGAAAGTTAGAATTATAAGTAATATGAATAGTGGTGTTGCTGTTTTTTGTCATGTTGTTATGCAGCTTTTTGGGATATTTGCAAATCTATCTAGATTATGAAAACACAGGTATAACAAAAATATGCACTGTAGCAGTCCCTCAGACCAAAGAAGAAACGGAGAGCCTCTTTGACAGATGGAACACTTGTCAGCCCATCGTCTACATAAAAGTTCTTTTTCACAAATTCTGAGGCTTTTGGGTAATCTAACCTGTGCTGCTGTGCTAAGTACTTAAGTCCAAAATTGGCACATCCAGGGGAGGATCCAGCCCCAAACAAATGTACAGCCATCCTGTACTCTTTAGGCTCTGTGTCTAAATCCCCATCCGGCCACCATAGAAATCGTAAGTAGTTACGCATTTCTGGACAAACAAAGAACTGATGAAACATTCTTTCAATATCACAGGTGATAGCCACATTCTCTTTTCTGAAACGACAGAACACTCCCACCAACGAGTTAATCATATCAGGTCCTGTGAGAAGAGTATCGTTCAGTGAGACACCAAGAAACCTGGCAGAACAGTCAAAGACTACTCTTAACTTTGTCGGCTTCTTGGGGTGGTACACCCCATGATGTGGGATGTACCATACAGTCTCATCAGTCACAGGAGGGACTAGTTCTGCATCACCACTGCTGATAATGTCTCTCATAAAGGCACTGTAATGCTCATGATACCTTTTGTCAGCCTTGAGCCTTTTCTTTAGGTGGTGCAGTCGAACTGTAGCTAGCCTCTTGTTGTTGGGAAGGGCTGGTGGCTTGTTATCCCTGAAAGGAAGGGGCATCTGGTAATGTCCATCATCTCTTTGCTTTATTGTGTCACTGAGAAGCTGTAAAAAATAGACGTCCTCCTGAGACACATACTTATCTTCATAGTTTCTCTCATTAAAGTCTGACTCCAAGACTTTTAGCACATCAGCTGTAGAGGGTCTGGGCATTTCTTTAACTTTGATTCGATGCACATAACTCTGGTTTCCCTCTCTGTCTAAGTGGGGATTACTAGACCCAATGATACTCCAACCAAGTATGGTTCTTTGTGCGAAAGGCTCAGTTAGTT